AAAGGACCCAAGTCCCCCCTCCCACACTTATAATAGTGACAGTGATGGTTACTTGGAGTGCTTGTACTTGGATGTGGTAACAATTATTCATGCTCTAGATACCTCCAAGCTAGTTCTACTGTAAAATGCAAATGAAATGAAATGCAAATATTCAGTACTGGTGGGAGTCAGAAAATTTGAACACACAAATGAGATTGCTTTAAATTGACTTCTTGGAGTGGTAAGATGTACTCAATCATCTTAGTGTTCTAGCTACCAGTCAGTTGTCAAACCTAACTAGACTTATATACCACTTTACAGTGCTTTACAGCGCCCTCTAAGCGGTTTTACAGTCAGCATATTGCCCCCAACAATTTGGGTCATTTTACCCACGTTGGAAGGAGGGCAGGCTGAGTCAACCTTGAGCCTGGTGAGACTCGAATTGCCAAATTGCAAGCAGCCAGCAGCCAGCAGTTAGCGGAAGTAGCCTGCAGAACTGCACTCTAACCACCATGCCATTATGGCTCATACTTAACCAGGACCTGGTTATCTAAAAGATTTTAATTCATTTGGTTATTTAAACCTACTAGAGAACTTGTTCTCAAACGCCTATCCTTAAAATTGGATGTATATATATCTATGCATCCAATTTTTAGTGATTCAAGTGCTAAATAATCTACCAGTTACATGGGAAGGGGGATTTACTGGCATTTTCTTGATCTGCTACCCTTGCTATCCACCATTCATCTTAAAAATTTTCTGAGAAGCTCCAACCCGAGAGATTCTCTCAATGCAGGAAAGTCTAGAAATTCTGTTCTGTACAAGGAAGCATGGGTAGAGTTCAAAGATTTGTGCTTTCAATATTAACTTCTAATCAGGAAATGGACTCCCCATGGCTATCTTCTTGTTTTAATTTGATGAAGAAATGTTGGCAGGGAATGCTTCTGCTAGTTTTTCTTCAATAATTTATAAAAAGTAATAAATGTGAAATATCCCCCAATAAATAAAAATAAAATTGCTTCTCCTTTGAATGTTAAAAGGGCTTGGACTTTTTAAAGAGCGGCACTGTAGAGATTAAACATTTAGTATGGTAAATTTGAACCTGAAAAATTTTTACTTACAAAAGCTTAACATTTTAAAGACTTTAGGTTTTTATCAATAACATGGCTATTTTAAAAAAACAAACATTGAATAGATGTATAGTTTTATTTAGCATGGTTAAGCATGTATAACCAATGAACCAGACTGGATCTCCATACAGCAAGATCAGATACTGGAAAAACCCACCCTGGCTAAAAGAGAATATGATAAAAATAGAATCTTCTGCCTGTGAGCTTGAGAAATAAGTTAAGCGTATAATCTCCTAAAGCAGTAGTTCTCAACCTTTCCTATCTTCCCATCATTCATTCTATCAAATAACTTGGGTCCCACTATAAACAAACAGGCATTTTTCCCAAGGATGGAGGGATGAATGGACGAATGAATCTCTAAATCTCTGTATCTCTATTTAGATATATAGACATACACAGGCATTCCATGTTGCTATCATCTGAGGTAAAATGTAAAGTGCTTCAAGTTTAAAGTGCTAATTCTTTATCTGTCCCATCTGATGTCTGCATACTACTGACTGAGAAATCTTGTGAACTACAGATAGTGTGCTTTTAAAGTATTCTTTCTGGAGAGTAACTTTTTCACAGGAAATTTCTTAAAATTAGCTCACTCTTTCCTTTTTAGAGCACACCAAAAAGCACATGCAAGCCTTAAAAACCCATTGTTAATTTTGCAGGCTACTTGTTGGATGTCATAAACTGCAGTTTCTCATGTTGTTCAGCCAAGTTTTTCAGACTTCCCATGCAACCTGGTGTGTATCCTTTTAGGTGCAGTTCTCATTTAATTCAGTGGAGCTTACTTACAGACATGTAGACATTAGATTTTACACTTAAGTACTTGTCCTCAGCCATTTTTAGTTTTTTTGGCCTCTATTGAGGTGAGACCCAAACCCTTCCCCAAAAGTATAACTGTTTATAAAACCTAGTGCGATTTGCAGTATGCTAGTTTTAATGGCTGGAGTGTACTAACCCATAAACCATGGCTTGCAAATCATGTAACATGCATAGCTCAAACCAAACAAAGCATAATATCACCTAGTACATTGTCCAACCTAGGACAGTCATTCATGCTTGATATTGTAATATATAAAAAAGGCACTGCCCTCAAATATCTCAGCTCTGAATGAGAATAAAAAGTTCTGAATTTAGACAACTGGATTCTGGAGTGATATTTAAGGAATTGCCAGAGATGGGAAATAATTTGTAACTGTTGCTTAGAGAGGAAACTGAAGTTATGGTAGAATGGATACATTTTTGGAGGATAGAGAGGAAAAAATGGGGGGAGAGAGCAATAGAAATATTAATTAGGATAAAAAGATGGCAGTGGCTTAATAGGAAGACATTCATATACACAGAAAATATACCAATAACTTTTTAAAGAACAGAAATGCGGAACTCAATTAGCCAACCACCTAAATATTACATACGGGAGAAAACGGCAGGAATTTTAAACCTGCAAAAGATGCAGAGTATGTACCCACATATATACTGCCTTTGATAGGTTAGTTACTAGACCACATAGTCCAGTGTTGGCAAACCTTTTCGGCACTGTGTGCTGAAACGGAAGTGTGTGTGCCAGAAGTGTGCACGAGCCCACTGGGAAGATGATCTTCTGGTTTCTAGCACACGTATGTAATATT